TCAAGTTTCTGCATAAAGCCTGCTTTTTTGAAAATTACTACACTGTTACTGCAGTGTTTTCTGTAAAATCATTGTACTGTGTGATGAAGTCCAGTCCAGAAGCAAACACAAGGATATACACATAGACGGTAGCGTAACGTTCTACATGCAATTTAATCTTCAAAAATATAGTAAAAATTCATACAAAGTACAGCTCAAGTCCCACTTGGGTGTTAATTCACTGAAAACATGAATACAAGTCCCACCTTGTTGGAGTTACTCTCACCTAGGTGTAAAGTGTCAACTGACTTCCATATCCTAAAAAGCATACTATTAAAGAGAATTCCCAATATTTTATCAACATTCCAGTTTTAACCACATCCCTTCTGTTCCCATACAATTCCTTCTCATCATGGTAATATATTAAATAAAGCAATATCATTGACCTGCATAGCAGTACCTTCTGATATTAACCAATATTTCTATTTGGAAAATTATTTTACAAATATTTTTAGATTTTTTATATTCTATGATACCTTTTACAATATTATTATTCAAAAATATTCAAATAACTTTATAAATTTTAATATATCAATTTTGTTATTACTGTATGTTGTGTTTATTCTAATACATTACAGGAGATTATTGACACTGGGTCAACAGTTCAGCTCTCTCTGAGGTTAGATGTCACGTTACCAATGGCGACAGAACTGTTGACATCTCATATGACCACCGACAATCCATTGATGAAACAACATTGTCTCAAGTTGCTCAAAGTTGTTGAATTCTTGAGAAATATCCTTAGTGTTACCTTCTGTTCCAGAAACAATTTTAAAAATCAAACTTTTCTTTTGAGTTAGAGCAGCCTAGACACCTTTTTAGGTTTTACGGGAATAAATAAACCTTTTCAGAGTGTCATTCAAACTTATCAAGTGACCAATCAGAACATTTATTTGCCAGTAATACATGAATGTCCCACATATTCGAAAGTTTACGTATGTTTTGTACTCTGTTAAATTCCCATTCCAATGTAACAATACTGAAGAATCAGGGTTAACCAAAAGATCCTTTGGTTGAGCAGTTCATTCTTATGTGGGAATTCTTGTCTTCATTAATGTGGTTGTACTATAGCACATATTCAGTAAACTTCGTGGCACATTGCTTGAAGCTGAAACAATGTAATATTAATTGCATATTATGCATTTTTTCCTCTTGATGAAGTTGTTTTCTTTAACTGCTTGCTACCTTTATGTATTGATGAAAACTCAAGGCAATATGTTGCACAGTGTCTTGATGTACAGGTGGTTTTAAGCATCCTGGAATGCCAGCTAAATCACAATCAGATTGGGCTAAGTATGACTCGGAAGTCAAACCAATCAGACTGGAGGTAAATACACCAAAAATGTTAATGCTGCATATACACCGATTCGTTTACAATGATTATTTCTCCCTCTAGATGCCTACTAGAGGCTTCTGGTGGGA